ACATACTTTGTCTTAATCAGGATATTAATAAGGAACTAGCAGTTTATGAAGCTTTTGGAATAATCCACCAATTTTTTAAAATTAAACACTATCTAAAGATTTGCATCGAAGCGTTTTTTTTTGATAGTGATTTTAATCACTGTCAGATATCATTATACTTGATCCAACTATGCCACGTCACCACTGTGCCGCGACCCTCCTGTGCTGGGTTTTTTTAAATTCATATTACATACACTAAAATAACACATAAACGTTAAATGATATTTTGCCAAAGTTGTATTTTTTGTTTATTTAAACCATTATTGTAATTTAATTACGGTATTATACAATTTATCAACAAGTAATGAGATTATGATAAATTTTCATGATTGAAAAAATTGTTTTTTTTTTTTTTAATTTATTTAGTAATTAGAATTGCTTTTTGACAACAGCAGATCCATGCATCGCCAAGAAAAATAATTAACAAAAATTTCAACATAATTTTAATATTGTAATATTATTAAATTATTAACATTTTTTTGGCTTTAATATTTAATATTGTATATTTTTCAAAAATAATATTTTTACTAAATTAATACACATCTAAAATTAATTTTATCATTTTAATGTTATAACAATAAATAATTTTGCGAACCATTTAATATAAAATTATTTTAAATGAATGGCTAGGATTATTATTTCTTTTCTTGTTTAATATGAACATTAGTATTGTTATGAAAAATATTCATGTTTGATATTGTTGTAAAGATCATCTAAAACAGGTACAAGACATTCTAATGATGTTTCATTTTCAGGAGGATAACTTAGTTTCTTTGATTCAGAGCTAAGTACAGAACGGTATAAATCCCATTTATAATGTGTTCTCAAGTTTTCGTAACTACTAAATGTTGTGTCTATAACATAATCCTTTTTGTCAATAGATAATATAAGCTTGTCGTTGAATGTTTCTTCAATTATTGATGCTATGCAATTAAACAAACATAAAAATGCGTATTTATCTGATTTGGTCGAATTTAGATGTAATAGCATGTCGGTTAATTCTGGGACACGATTATAGATATCCCTCATGTATGAATCTATGACTTTTATTAAATCATGTACTAAGCAACGTACTAGATTTGTTTGGCAATTCTCACAATAAACGACAAGTAAACTATAATATGAAAGCAAAAACACATATTTATAGACTCGATTTTTCATTAATTGATTATAAATCAATGTCACTTTACTACTCTCAATATTATTGAGATAATTTTCCACGCTTATTAATTCACCATTATGAATCTCTATTGTATCAGTCTTCATAAAAGACCAGTTGTGTAATTTTTCAAATTTTATTGTATTTGATTGACTACTCACTATAATAGTGATAAAGATTCCCAGCGTCATTTTTATCATATTTCTTATTCTGCCCATTTAACTGACTTTACCTTTAATAGTTCCAAAATAAATTTTAATAGAAAAAATACAATTAAATATTTTTATATTATATCTATGAATAAAACTACAGTTCTACAATTAAAAATTTAATAATAACTAAAGTAATATAATTAAATAAAATATACCTTGACTTGTTTTATTTTTAATGTTCTGCTGATAAATATTCAATCGAATGAAAGTACTTCAACAAAATAGTCAAATTTGTTTAGTATGAAAAATATTTTTTATTTAAAAATTAAAATTGAAAATTTTTTTTTATATAGTTACATCAATTTATTTATACGTTTATTGAATAGTAAAATAAAAGTGAAACGGATAAATGTGTTTTTTGAGTAATATTAATTTTTTAGCGATAATTTATCATATAAATACGCATTTGTAAGTTATTAAAATATAACTGTAAAGTAATCACAATTTTATATACATGTTGGTTGGTTTATTTAACGCTAACCAATTGAGTTCTTAAAATTGAAAATATTTTTTGGTATTTTTAGTGTTACTTTTTAGCATCATCCCTTATAAATTTAGATGTGTCAACTTAATTTTAGCTTTGATACGAAGCTGCTATTATAGCTAGTACATTTTAAAGTTCAAGCACATTAATCAACATCCTTATTGCATTAAAATAACATAAACAATAAAAAAAGTGAAATTTATTTTGAGTTCGTAAAAATTGAATTTTATATATTTTCCCATTATTTTACTTTTGTAGCTTTAAATATTAGTTTTCGACAATAAACAATTGTTTATTGACATTATTGAAGAATATGTAATTTCTACATTTGGATTCATACATTTTTTTGTTTGTTATTTCTAACTCAATTGAATTAATATTTCGAGAAAAGTGTTTTGAGTGTAGTTAATTATTTAAATAGGTAGTACCTTAAAAAAAAAGTTATAGAAATAGTCATAGAAAGGAATGTTGAAAGTAAAAGAGGTAGAAGACCAAAAAAGAGATGGAGGGATGAAATTTGAATGCAATATGAAGACGACTGATGTGAGCGTATATGATGTGGGTGATCGTATCAAGTAGAAGTTTAGGATAATTATAATAATAAGGATAATAATAATAATACTTGTTTAGGATAACTTAATAATTATAATAATTAACTTATGTTTAATAGTATTTAAATATCATTTTAAAAAATTTTGTGACTATTATGGTTAACTATTTTTAATATATATTTTAATTTATTAATTATAATTAATAAATTAACGATTTATTGGTTATTTAAGATTCTTAATTAATTTTTATTTGTTTTATATAAACATTCATTTGAAATTCTTTAAAGTTAGACTAACACTAATTTAATTATAATTCCATTATTATATTTAATATATCGATGGAATAACAGATAATGATAATAAGAATTATCATACCATAAATAAATGACTACTTCTTCGAAACAATAAATTGTCAATGGAAATTAGGTAAAAAATTGCTAAATTTTAACAGGCAGTAACAATAACATCGTTCATAGGATAATTAAGTTATAAGAACTAAATTGCTTCAAACATTTTTTTTCTATTATATCTAACTAACTTAAAATAAAGGTTTCCACTAATGAAAATTAAAGTTAAAATTTTTTTTTGAGCACCCTGTACGTTTATGTTAGTGTATTTATCTTTTAAGTCATACGGCGATATGGGTGTTAAAATATGATTAATTGAAAAAATGAAGATCATGTAAGCATATATTTTTTATAAATGTTTGTTCTTGAGAAATACAATATTATATCCGAAGAAATTTCGTCATTGTTTGCTTTATTTCTATTTATGATATACAGAGTGATTTTTTAATTATAACCCACTCAATTACTTACAGAATAATAATAATTAAAAATTTTTTTTTTATTATTATCTTTAGTTACACATTATTCTTGAATTATTAACTATGTAATACTTTTTAAGTTCATCCCTTATGCCTGGTAAGGGTGTCAACTTTGTTTTTTTAAATGGTAACACATATTTTTAATTTAATAAAATGTTTGAGTTTTTAATTCAATAATAAATTCCATTTGAATTTTTAATAAAACCTAATTTGTTTATTAGATATAAACATTTAAAGTTTCAAATTTTTGAGTTAATATATAGGTATAATACACAAGGGATTACAAATACAGGTAGCTAATTGATTTTTTATGACATCGATATTAGCAGGTACACAGCATTGTTATTATCAATGATAGTAAGGTACATTGTTGTGAGTTTATAAATACACTAACTGACAATACAAAAAGTATATCTATTGATAGTCATAATTGATAATAAACAATCCGTGACTGTGATAGCAATATCATAAAAAACCAATTAGCTACCTGTATTTGTAATCCCTTGTGTATTATACCTATATATTAACTCAAAAATTTGAAACTTTAAATGTTTATATCTAATAAACAAATTAGGTTTTATTAAAAATTCAAATGGAATTTATTATTGAATTAAAAACTCAAACATTTTATTAAATTCAAAATATGTGTTCCCATTTAAAAAAACAAAGTTGATACTCTTACAAGGCATAAGGGATGAATATAAAAAGTTTTAAATAGTTAATAATTCAAAAATAATGCGTAACTAAAGAAAACCAAAAAAAAAAATGTTTAAATTATATTTATTCTGCAAGTTATTGAGTGGGTTATCATAAAAAAATCACCCTGTATTTATTAGTTTTGCACATTTGTCATTATTTTCTGTCACAATTAAAATTAAATTATGAAAAATGTAATTTAAAAATTTATAATGGAGTTTTATTTTATCAAAAGCTTTTATTAAATTATGATATCATCTAAAATGAGGTGTTAGAAAGAATAAATTCTAAAATTAAATTAATGTAAATTAAATGGCTATTAAAAGAAATAATAGAAATTACTTCTATTGAAAATAACTAATATGTGTAGTAATACAAAAATAAGCAAAAATGATTTTGGGGTAGCAATATTGACCAATGTTGGATATTTGGGGATTTGGTCAATTCAGGAGCAACGAGGTTCAATCGGGGTTGTAGAGTCTGAGGGTTTAGAACAGTAAAGACAAATAGATATAAAAAGATATGTATTAAGTTCCTCTCATAGAGGTATTAAACGCTGAGGTATTCTTGTAGTGGCCGGAGTCTTGGCTTCCTATCTGACACCCAGTCGAAGCGTGATGTTAACTGGTATGTGCTTTAATGGAAATACTGAGGCGTTAATGGAGTGGCGGAGGCCTCCTCTCAGGCACCCAGTCGAAGTATATGACCAAGCACTAACTAGTTATTAATAATTAAATTAAATGATGTTTAAAAAATCTATTGCTTTACCATTCTTTACTCAGGTTATTAATTCTAAATAATTGGGTTAATATAAATTTACTTACTTCTTTTGTATATATTACGTTCAGATTTATACTGTTCCTTTTTTAATAAATAAATAAAGTAATGACTCAAAAATAATTGTACTTGATATCGCTTTAAAATGTGCCGACGACAACACGGGGTCGCGGCTAGTTTGCTCAAAATAAATCAAATAGAAGAATTCTGAATTCCTTATTGAATTCAAATCTTCAAAAAAAAGAGAGACTGAGCCGCTCGCTGACACGCTCGCTCACTGATGCGCAAGCAGAACTAAGCCTTTTTATATTATTTTTAATTACCCCTTCATGGGTTTTTGTCGTCAGCGCATTTAGTGATTCTCAATTTATTGTATTTAATTGAACATAACATTGCAAGTGGGCTTTTATATATTTGGCCTGTTACAATAACATGGTTTGCCACTTGTATAACGACTAGCTATAGTAGCAAGAGTCACCACCACCTAGACGAGGTGTCACACCTATCAGATATGATTACCGGACCATAGGTGGAATTTAATTTTAAGTTAATTAAAAAGTATAATCTAAGTTAATATGTCGTTATATGTATAAATTATTATAATACCTCGTGGTTTATTAAACACAATTATGACAATCAAAGTTATATGTGGTTGGTATGTAAAACATACCGTAGCCCGTGTCTAGATTAAGGAACAGGGATAAAATACAAGCGAGTAATTAAGTTACTCGCGCAATAAAATAAATATTACAGTTGAAATTAATAAGGAAATTTAATTTAATTGTTAAAAAAAAAGAAAATTAAGTTAAACATGGACAAAAATGCGAATGCATCAAAAACCATGTCTACAAATAAAGGCAATACAAATAAAATAAAATATTTAAACAAAATAAACAAATAATATTACAAACATCACGGACGGTATTGGAACACATCCGTTAATGTTAATCGGAAATTAATGACGAACACCAGGAGCGGATCTGGGACATTCTCTCCTTAGCGTTGGCTAGAAGAAAAGGGAAACACGTGCTCTCCACACATAAACAAAATTAAGTTAATTTACGATAAAATAAAAATTAAATAAAATAATTAATAAAATATAGTTCATTACATAAATGTAATATATTAAAGAAAACGAAACCCGGTCTCCGAAGAGACCCATCCAATGGTCTGGAGGCTTCACCGAAAAGACCTGGCCGTTCACCGTTGGTGGCTCTACTCTATCACTGAAAAAAATGACAATAAAACAATAAACGTGTGCACTCTAGCACGGACAATGAAAGAAGGAGATTCGAGAAGAGCCAACACCGATCTTACGGCAATTTAAAATAAATAACGACCAGTCTTTTTAGAAGGGATCAATACCGATAAACAATTCGATTTTAATTATATTTCTCTTTTATCGCCTTATCTAGCGGTCTGCGGCAAAATAATGAGTGGTTAACATCGCTGTGCCAGAAAAAGGTTCTTTCGCGCGATAAAATAAATAAGTAAACAACAAAAATCATAAACGGTCCACCTTCGAATTTGTGACGTTGCAACATGATAGTTAATTTTAAGATAAGATGTGTAGTATACAATAATCAATTTAACATGTATATACATATACAGAGTGTTCAGTAAGTCAGGAAACGGGTTTCTATTGTTCTCATTGTTTGTAACAACTAGTGTACAACAGTTTATATGTTATAACAGATAAATTAATTATTTATTTGTATACTAGTAATATAAAATACAGAGTATACATTTTTCATTGATAAATGTAAGATGCGCAATTCAAAGTATTAGCACATTACATTGCGCTATACTGTGTCGTCAATATACGAAAAATATGGCACAAAGCACCCACGCTTTTATCACAATAATACTAGTATTTTTCGTTCATTATTGTTTTAGGCTTATTTTAAAAATTATTTAAAATTTTTTAGTTCAATGTGCTTTAAAAGCATGTTTTTTTAGTTTTTTTTAACTATATTTTATTTAAGTGTTGCTGATATCTAGGGACATAGATTTCGATATAGAGTGGGGATTGAATGTGTAACTTCCATTACTGTTAAAATAGTTCAATTATATAACCAACATTTTTTTAATAATTGGAAGTTGAACCCACTCCATACTGACGTCCATACGAATACTGCTTATATCCTAAAGACCTTAATTATATGTATAAATTTATGTTTTTTCCATTTAAGAACTATAACAAGTTTTACCAATTGAATTCAAATTGAAAAACATTACATATATTTCAAGGTAATAACTTTATTTTATTACTTAATATTTAATGTTATAACGTAAAAGTTAATGTTCAAATTTTTATTTAAAACCATGTACTTTTAACACTTAATTTAGTATATCCAACGTTTTTTACAATGAATATTTTTTCTGATTATTTCTGAAAAATGAATAATAAAAACTAATTATGGTTTGTAATAATTGTAAAATAGTAAAATTGTACAACAAAAGTTATAGAGAAATCATAGGTTACAGTGTAAAATTATTAGAAAATTATTAATTATTAACTAGTTAATAAATAATACTTTTTTGGATTCTTAAAATTTTTTATATAATTAATACATTATGTAATCAACCTTAACTATTAAATCATATTTACAATTATACTATAAAATAGTTTAACTTATCTATTAAATTAAATGAAATCAACTAATTAGCCCAATATAAACCACCGCTACACTGTACAAATATAGGTGGGTGGGGGAAAAAAATTGTGTTACCGATAGCCACCCTAAAATCAAATATTGAACAAGTATGTGACAAGTACACAAGTGTGCACTAGTGAACTACAAGTGTAAACTTGTCAATCCATTAATTCCTTTGACTTGTGTTACATTTACCGACAATCTGCGGGAAACTGACAAGTGACCAATAATTGTACAAGTATATTTATTTTTCTGTTATCGTTGCAAAACTATAAGTTATATATATATTAACGAATTAACCTGTGGGATGGCATTATTGGATACGCATTAATGTCTAAATTGTCGTACGGTGGTAATACTCCGACGTAGACACAAAAAGTAGTACACAAATAAACTAATGTTTTTTTACGACGAGTTCGTCGTTTTTAGTTCTTCCGAGTACTCCCGCTGGATACACTGGTCAGCCCCAATCCCTCAAATTAGTGAACTACTAAAGGGGTAGAGTTTAGAGCAGTCAGCACAGTCTAGCTCAAAAGTAGCAGACTGAAGGGGGTGGCTTCTCAAAATCCACCAGCACAACTGCCTTTTCACTATACCTACTAATGGTTAAGCCCAAAAACTAGCCAACACGCACACTAGTTATTAAGATCGACTGAAGGACCAGTTGCCCAACCTTTACTCTTTCTGCACACACACCTACACAATTATAACAGCAAGGTTTAATACAAATAAATGAAATCATACAAAATACAAAGTTAGTCCTGACGTTTTTTCGTCAAAACGTTCAGTCTCACTATACTTTTCATATTTCCATTTTATATTCTTTTTCCCACCATTATTACCTTGCTTACCCTGAATTTCCTTTTTATATGATATTATTACATCGCTTAAGAATTCAAAAATTGCTTACTACTGTTGTAAATTTTATATTATACTAAAATCGATGTTATTCAATACTTCCTCAGCTATTTGCTACAAAATAAAAATTAAGTTATTCAATTATAGCCTATTTCATAAATAATAACATTAAATGGTAGAATAAATTAATTTTTGTATGTTCTATAAGCTGTAATTTTTGAAACTTTTGTACTTAGTTATACAACTAAAAAGTTATTGAAAAGTCAACAACTTAAAATCATATCTATGATTTTTTTTTTATTTCCATGAATCCGTTATAGATTTACATTTATAGGTATACGACACGACAATATTATCATATCGAATAACGATAAAAACGGAAACATATGTCTTTTAAAAATAAGTACTCATTCTTTTATACCCCTCAACTTTATGCAGCTAAAACACGACAAACATAGATGTCCAAGTATTTTCAATAAAATAAATTTGATGATATAAAAAGAGTTGAGGTTGCCATTTAAAAATCAAAAGTTGAAACGAATTTAAGGTATAAGGGTTCTTAGCAGAAATTTTAATTTTTCATGTAAAATAGAGCTCCACAAAGAATGATTATTGTAAAAAAAAAAAATAAATAAATAATGTATAGCTCTAAAATTTTCGAAGATATTTCAGGAGGCGTAGAAAAGGAATCTTGAAAATAAATAAATATAAATATATATATATATGTGTGTGTGTATTTTTATTTATTAAGTAAACTCTGAATGTACACTTAAAATAGTTTTATAAGATAATAACAAAATTACAAACTATGAAAAGAAAAATATAAATTACATAATATAGTTATTAATTAATTACAGGTAAGAGAAAAATTGTATGTAGCCCGCATCCGTTTTTTATTCAGGTAAAAAGAAAATGTGCATAATCTGTGCTCCAGTTTTTCTATAGGTAAAAATAGTTGTACGTAATCTATGTAAGAATAATTTTTTTCTGCTAGTTCTTTGAATAGTGCAGAATGTTATTACCCGATCTATAGAAAAACTGTAACGCACATTTTTTACCTTACAGAAAAATCAGATACCAGTTGACAAATAAAAAAGTAAATTGAGCGCAGTTCAATCGCCGAATAGTTATTATTTAAGATATAATACATATAAATAATTAATATTAAAATTATTCAATATTTAAAATTAATAGTATGAAGAATATTAGAATAAATAATCAATTTCTGAATATTTTAGCTATAGTATTTTTATATATTATTAATATATATTGTATTCAGGTAACAGAAATAGGTATAGTCCCTCAATAACAATGAACAAATCATGAGTGGTATGACTTTTGAGAGGAGGATACATCAGTGAATTATTCATATATTCTGAATTTCCCACAGTTTTATATAGATCCCAATTATAATCACTACTCAGATTTGCAAGCGCCGTAATTGTGTTATTATTATTAGGACCATCTGAGAACCATTTTTTAACTATTCGGGCCATGATATTAAAAAATCTTAAGCAAAATTCTTCTGGTGTATTATCTACAGAGAATAAAGTAGATGTTGGAGTATTCAAATCATCTATAGGTGTATAGTATTTGTACATGAAATTTTTTATTTTATTTGTAGAGTTAAATAAAATATATTGTACCCTTACAGATTCCTCTGGACTTTTAAAAGAAATCAATAACCCATAATAAGAAATTAAAAATAAGTACTTCAAAGCTCTACTTTTCACCAAAGTATAATACTTTTCAACAATTACATTTTCCGCTTTAATTGATATGGTAGTGCCATTATCTTGTTTAATAACATAGAAATCATTTTGGACATATTTCCAGTATGCATCTATTGCATTGACTTCTTGTGACGTATAACTATACACTATAACAGTAAAAACAACGCACCATAAAATTCTCATTTTAAATTTTATTCTTGTACTTATTTAAACAATTTAAAAATTCTAAATATTATAATAATGAAATGAGTTTAAGTGTAACCTATTGTAGTTTTATAGAACACTTTCAATGATTTACAAAAAGATTCACTTATATAAACAATAATAAATAAATCGGTAAATGTCAAGCAAAATTAATTTTTCGCATGGAATTATGAATTATTACATTTATATTTAAACATATTTAAAAAAAAAACTATTTAAAAATATTTATTAAAATATTGAAGTTTCTCATTTTTAAAGAAATAATTTGAATTTTGGTTTTTCATACAAAATATGTTCAACAATAATTTTTATGTGTACCTATGACGACTTATCAATCATTTTTATGGCCGTCTATAGAAATCACAATACAACGTGACCTTCCCTGTTAGCTGGACCCAAAAGACCACTCTGTTCCTCGGGCTACTCCGTGTGAAGGTGGGGGCAGGTCTTCGAGAAGATCAGGGCTTAATAACTCACAATAAAACATATTAACACATAACAAAACCCTAAGGAGTCAGTTTAAACCAGCGCCTTCTATCCTTCTGTACTGAGTGGCGGAGTTTCCTCTGTCACAGCCGAATCTTTAACTGTCACATAACTGACTTGGAGATCGCATAGGCGAGACCTCTCACGTCCCTCGGCTCACTAACATCAAGTCCACCTAGGAACCCATTCGGAACGTTGTCATCAGGCTATTCAGTAGTAGTGTCTTTCCAACCAGCTATTTACAGTATTTGAGTGAATGAGCTTATGAATATCTATGTCTGTGCGCTGAGTGTATCCGTATCGGTAACTGATAATTCTTTAATATGATAATTATTAAAGTCAATAACAAAAGGCACATAAAATATCGCAGAACTCATAATTTAAGCTTCAATGCAAATCTGTGAAGGTATTAATTTTACTATAATTTATTCATTTATTTTTTTTTTAACTACGATGAGAAGATGAGAAGGTATTAATTTTACTGTGAAGTATTATTTTTTGTGTCTGTAATCACTTTTTCTCAGCTCTCATTAAATCGATTTCTATCAACGGTACGTCAAAACATCATAAATCGTATCTAGATGAAGTCATTATCCTTAAAAATCAAAAAAATTTTCCCTTGTTTCCTGTAAATGGGGGAAATCTCCAAAAAAATTGCAAACTATAAATCGCAAATTTTTTATTTTTATTCAATTCTTTTTCTTAAATAACAGCCATAACTTTTTCAAAAAAGTATGGATCAATATAATTTTCTTTTTAATAGGTATTTTAGGTATTTGATGTACAATATTTTTTAATCTGACTACGGGAAGGGATTCAATATGACAACTTTTTCACCTTATCTTTTGAAAGAGTTAATATTAATCTAAAAGAGTAATATTAAATATTCTTAAAATATAATGGCAAAATCGGAAATGCTTATACATTTGATTTTCGATAAATTAAATATTACTCTATATTTTATTCATGTTTTTATTTTAATTTTATGATTAGTATATTATATAAAGAATTTTTAAACAGTCTTAAATAAATAATAATAATAATAATAATAATATTGACTGTTGAATAATTTAATTATTTAAATAAAAAATAATCATATTCTATAAACAATTTTATTGTATGGTTATATATATATATATACATATTTATAATTATTACACATCTGTAGTTAAAGGTTAACTATTCAAAATGTATTGATTCGAAGAGAATCAATCTAAAAAGAGAAATTACATTTAAAGTAATTAAAATTTCAATTTTCAAACAATCTTTATTAATTTTTTAAATAATTTATCACTTATGGTGTCATATTGAAAGCTATAGCATTTTTTCCATATGAAATAATACCTAACACAATATTAAAATATTACAATTCAATAAAATAAAATAAAACTTTAAATGAATATTACACATTGAACTGAATAGTTGAATAGTGGTGAAATATACATATATTTTTGTTATATACATTAAATGTATAACAAATTTTGTTATATACTAAGATTTACTAATCTTAGTTGTCAATATGTCGAGTTCACATGAAAATGTTTGCGGTTTCGGTCGATCATTTATCGATAATGACGAATTAAGATTGCTTTATATATTGAATTTGGGTCACCGACAAACGTTTATTGCTAAATAAAATATAAATTTTCATATTTTTAAATAATACTACATGTATTATATGCCAATCACACAAATAGTTTGTTTATTTCACGCAATGTCGTAGATAGCAAATGTAAAACGTAATTTAATTTGTACTAGTTAAAAAAAAAAAATCGCAATTCGGAAGAAAACGTCCACAATAAAGCTGATGTGGTCTGATTTTTTAGTAGATATCAACGCGCGTAAATATTTCATCTCTCTTAGATTCTATGCATACAAGGCGAACTTTCCACGGAGCCAAGGGGACAAACACCCATTTGGATTAATGTTTCAATTATTAAATGTGGTCAGTTTAAGTAATAACAGATTCGTGAAATATGATTACACATTATCAAACAATATTTTTTTATAAGTTATAACCGTTATTTGTATATAATTATATTATAAACTTATAAGGTAAATGTTTATTGCTATAACTACCGTATACTTTTTCAGAATTTTCAACGTTCATTTATAAAATATGATGGTTAATTTTTACCAAATATTTCGCGTTTTAGGGAACTTCTTTTAAAGTGGACACATTTCAATAGTTGTAGGAGGGTTACTGGGTTCCCTTAAGCCCCTCACCTCACCTGAAGCCTTGTACCATGTTCACAAGTGTGAACTTGATTTACAGAAAACATATTTATAGCAAAGTTAAAATATGTTATGCTAATATTAAAGTATAAACAACATTACAGTTATATGTAAAGTATACAATTTTAAAAGACACAGTTTAATTTTTTACGATTATTTATTCGCACTTTACCGAAAATATGACTAATTACAATTCAAGAACAAATGGTTTATAAATGTTTTTTTCTCTATGCAAATTTTTGACACACCGATTATATTTATTAGTTAATGTACCATGGCATTATGTTTTTTGTTTTATCTTAATATAAAAAAAAATTTCCAATTCTTCGTAAATTATAGATTCACTTAGTCTATACGAGTTAAAATTTTAACACGCAAAAAAAAGAATATGTCAATTTTTAATAACTTTATTGTATTATTTAATGTAATAGTATAAGAATGTCAAATTTTTTATGTATATGATAATGTATAAAACCTATAGACATATTTTGGGATAAACTACAATGACTCATTGGTTATGGATAATTAAACTTTATATAACTTTTAACGCACATAATTGGGCGCCTCACTTATAATAACGTTTCAACATATTATTCGGGCGACGCTGTAGGTCTTCCAAACAATGCTCCTGTGTGCACACAACTCAACCGCATATACTGAGACAAACAACTCTAATGTTTGCACACGACAAATGTATTATAACTATTTTAATATTTAAAATTTTGCATTTTTAATAAAAATGTAGGATTAAGAACATACAATCTTCTTTTAATTAATTTTAGTAGGATACGATCGTCCCGTCGTTCAAGCCACGAGCCGCCACTGATATTTTGGATCAATTTAACAAAATTATCAATAACCGTTAAACTTCTATTAATTCGACGTGAAATTACACGATTTGAAAGAGCAGACTCGTTATAAGCGATAATATTACCCCTTTATTCATCTTTTAGTGGTTTTCCTCTACCCATAGTAAAGGATTTGAAACTAAATTATAATATTAAAGATTTAACATTTTTTATATTACGCATAATTATTGTATGAGTGTTTTGACAATTTTTGAACAAATAAACTTTAGGTATGCTATAGTAAAGTTATTGCCTTTAAAATTTTAACACGCAAAAAAAAATAGGTCAATTTTTATTAACTTTATTGTATTATTCAATGTAATAGTATAAGAATGTCAAATTTTTTATGTATATGATATATTATAAAACCTATAGACATATTTTGGGATAAACTATAATGACTCATTGGTTATGATTAATTAAACTTTTATACAATTATGTGCCTTTATCTTATTGTTATATAGTATTGATATATGCTATTGCTATCATTTACTTTTACAAGAATGTTAAAAATTCTTTTCATCAAAACTAATATAATCATAAATCGTTCACACACCAATGATTCACTTAGGCTATACGAGTGCTAAAATAACAATCCAATATCACGGACGTAGGACCATCTTGTACGATGTGGTATTGTTTAATTTAGGATTTCAAACACATTTTTATAATGTTGGCAGTGTTTTACACAGACACACACTTACGACTATACAAACCCGGTCGGTGACCTACTGCCACCGCCCAATAAGAACAATCATGCCCAATAACAAGGACCCCGAGATGAGGTGCAATGGCATACCCTAGGATTTTTCGTGTCACTAACGCAAATCATACAATCCTCAAAAACTACTAAATCTATGCATTTGATTTTTTTTATCAATGTAAAAACCACAAGCGTTTATGCGGAGGGACATGTAGTCAGTTTTGTAAAATCAACGGATTAAGTAAAATGTGTCTGTTTATTTCTATGAGCTTTCCAAATTCTTAATAATAAAGTTGTTAATGTTTTTCTACAGTATTTTGTTACTGGTTATAACCGTTATTTGTCCATGTTTATATAATATATTGTAATGTAGGATAACGTTTTATAAAATAGATAGTTGCTATTACTATCATTCACTTTTACACAAATATTAAAAATTCTTTTCATCAGAAATTAATTTAAGCATATATTTTTCGCATACCGATTCACTTATACGTGTGAACCACTAAAACACACAATCCAATATCACGGACATAAAGTATCAATAATTTACATACACAAATATTTTACTTACTATTTATGAACATATTCTAATTTAAATTTGAGTTTAAAAAACACGACTTCAACAACATTCTTATTAAATTTTTACAAAGTTAACAAAAAAAAAAAATGTTATTGGGAACAATTGTGGACAGAAAAGTCACACATGGTCTTATTTTTTAGTAGATATGAAAGCGTGTAAATACTACATATATCTTAGATTTTACATAATACCAATGTAGTGTAAAACATTTTTTACTAAATTGTTAATGGATATTTTTATTTATTATTCACTTTAACATGATATTTTTATTTAGTTTCATACATCATCAGATAAACTAATAAATGTAATTTTTACATGAAAATCGATAAAACATATAATAATAGTCTTATTACGTGTGTTTACTATATTGGTTAAATAACTACTGTCACTTACATAACAAAATATGTATACAGCTAGGAGACCCTGTGTTTTTTACCCATGGATCGTCTTCGTCATCACAACAATCTTTCAAGCGTAGACCGCAGCAATAACATTTTTGTCCATTACCTAAAAACAATATACACTTATACATAATGTAATTGATTAACTGTACGAATCGTAAAATTACATTAAATTTGACAATATATTATCACATACCTATGTATAAAACTCAGAATCACAAAGGATAGATATTTTTTATTCCAATTTTTGTTTTTGACAGTTTTCAAAAGTTTTTAAACGAGTGTTGAAATTGACAAAATTTTTTTGTTTTTGTTTAGAGAGTTTAAATCTAGGCTGTTTGCTATTAACCGTTTAGCAGTATAATCCACAGACATCATATCCTAAATAAGAAAAATAGTATTATAATTTCACGTAAAATTAATCTAGATTGTCATGTACAGTTTTTAATTACTTACTCAAATTTTCATCGAGACGATTTTCATATACGTTTCCTTGCTTTCCACTATCTAATTTTGATCAAACACTCAAAATGTATCAATCAAATAAATATATGATGACGGAGCGCAGTCTGTAACCCAACCTGTGCAAATGAGGGGCACTAACTAATATACATGTGTACACATAATCGTACAGTCATATTTACTCGTTTATTTAAGAAGCAAGTAATCATTACGTGCCTTAACATATTAATGGAATATTTTTCTTTTATATATATGAATATATAAAAGAACAAAAAAATACTCAATTGTTAAAAAAATAAATTCAAATTTAAGATTTTTTTCAATTTTTGAGGGTAATGTCTTCGACTAGATACAATTTGTGATCTTTTGACGTATCATTGAAAGAAATCGATTCGGTGAGAGCTGAGAAAAAGTGGTAACAGACAAAAAAAAAAAAAAATAAAAAAATAAACACATCTTAGTAAAACCAATACCTTCTCAGCTTCGCATCGAAGCTAAAAATAATTATCATAAAATTTGGCAAATAATTGTTCTATTTTAATAATCTAAGATTTCGTTAAAAATCATGATCAAATAACAGTATTATTTGAGCATTTTTAAATTTAAATTTATTTATTATTTATTATAACAAAAAATTTTGAATGTACACAAGATATGATATGAATATTTGAAATTTATCAATATTATTAGCTTTGATGCGAAGTGAGAAGGTATTAACTTTACAATAATGAGTTTTTTAATTTAAATTTGAAAAATATTCACCGAAAGTATATGAGTATACTGATTGTTTAAATTATTATACTTTAAAAAAGATACTATAAGTTGATAGTAAATTATCTATGTTTAATAGATGTTTCGCTTTAAGTACAGATTGTTTACTTTATTATTTCGTATTGAAAAAATCACTGTTAACCTCTTTCACAAGAAACAAAAAAATATATTTATAATTCATTTTTTAGCTTCGATGCGAAGCTGAGAAAGTATTGGTTTTACAAAGATGTGTTTATTTATTTATTTTTTTTGTGTCTGTTACTACTTTTTCTCAGCTCTCACCGAACCGATTTCTTTCAATGATACGTCAAAATATTACAAATTGTATCTAGTCGAAGACATTACCCTCAAAACTTGAAAAAAATTCCCTCGTTCCCCGAAAATGGAGGAAACCTCCAAAAAAATTACGAATTTAAAAATCGCTAATTTTCGAAATTTTTCAATTTTTTTTACTTTAAAGTACCATAACTTTTTAAAAAATGAACATATCATTATAATTCTTTTTTATATAGATGCATAATGTCATTACTTTTCATTTGGTATAGTTTTTTCATAAATTTAACCCTTTACTTGCCCACAGGGGGGGATTTAAAATGACAACTTTTTCACAAAAAATTAATTTTTTCAACTTGATTTTTGAAAATGTTCCGGAAGGTCTGACACTTTTATATATATATTAAATTAAAGTTAATGTAATATACTTTATTATGGTAAAAAAAAATTTCGGACTTTATTTTATCTTCACGGTGAAAATGGCTACCAAATGCTATTTTTGTGTGAAAATTTTCGATTTTGTATTTTACATTTTTAACTTTATTATGCTATAACTTTTTGAAAAATGTATGGATCAGTACAATTTTTTCGTGAGGAGTAGTATTTATATACATCTTTCATTTGACATACTTTTTTTTTAAATCGGACCATTTCCCTTAATACAGGGGAGATTAAAAACATAAAAAAGCATATAGAAAGTAGAACTATTTCAACTTAACTTTTGAAAGTGTTCCGGAAGGACTGTACACAAATCAACTAATGTTTTTTTAAGACGAGTTCGTCGTTTTTAGTTCTTCTCGAGTACTCCCGTTGGATACACTGGTCAGCCCCAATCCCTCAAATTAGTGAACTACTAAAGGGGTAGAGTTTAGAGCAGTCAGCACAGTCTAGCTCAAAAGTAGCAGACTGAAGGGGGTGGCTTCTCAAAATCCACCAGCACAACTGCCTTTTCACTATACCTACTAATGGTTAAGCCCAAAAACTAGCCAACACGCACACTAGTTATTAAGATCGACTGAAGGACCAGTTGCCCAACCTTTACTCTTTCTGCACACACACCTACACAATTATAACAGCAAGGTGGATATAAAATATTTGCGCTAAGTGCAGGTTTTTAAATAGTTATTTTATTTCAGAAACGTAATAAACACAAAGTCAACATTGTAACACAAAATAAATGAAATCATACAAAATACAAAGTTAGTCCTCACGTTTTTTCGTCAAAACGTTCAGTCCCACTATACTTTTCATATTTCCATTTTATATTCTTTTTCCCACCATTATTACCTTGCTTACCCTGAATTTCCTTTTTATATGATATTATTACATCGCTTAAAAATTCAAAAATTGCTTACTACTGTTGTAAATTTTATATTATACTAAAATCGATGTTATTCAATACTTCCTCAGCTATTTGCTACAAAATAAAAATTAAGTTATTCAATTATAGCCTATTTCAAAAATAATAACATTAAATGGTAGAATAAATTAATTTTTGTATGTTCTATAAGCTGTAATTTTTGAAACTTTTGTACTTAGTTATACAACTAAAAAGTTATTGAAAAGTCAACAACTTAAAATCATATCTATGATTTTTTTTTTATTTCCATGAATCCGTTATAGATTTACATTTATAGGTATACGACACGACAATATTATCATATCGAATAACGATAAAAACGGAAACATATGTCTTTTAAAAATAAGTACTCATTCTTTTATACCCCTCAACTTTATGCAGCTAAAACACGACAAACATAGATGTCCAAGTATTTTCAATAAAATAAATTTGATGATATAAAAAGAGTTGAGGTTGCCATTTAAAAATCAAAAGTTGAAACGAATTTAAGGTATAAGGGTTCTTAGCAGAAATTTTAATTTTTCATGTAAAATAGAGCTCCACAAAGAATGATTATTGTAAAAAAAAAAAATAAATAAATAATGTATAGCTCTAAAATTTTCGAAGATATTTCAGGAGGCGTAGAAAAGGAATCTTGAAAATAAATAAATATAAATATATATATATATGCGTGTGTGTATTTTTATTTATTAAGTAAACTCTGAATGTACACTTAAAATAGTTTTATAAGATAATAACAAAATTACAAACTATGAAAAGAAAAATATAAATTACATAATATAGTTATTAATTAATTACAGGTAAGAGAAAAATTGTATGTAGCCCGCATCCGGTTTTTATTCAGGTAAAAAGAAAATGTGCATAATCTGTGCTCCAGTTTTTCTATAGGTCAAAATAGTTGTACGTAATCTATGTAAGAGTAATTTTTTTCTGCTAGTTCTTTGAATAGTGCAGAATGTTATTACCCGATCTATAGAAAAACTGTAACGCACATTTTTTACCTTACAGAAAAATCAGATACCAGTTGANCTTACAGAAAAATCGGATACCAGTTGACAAATAAAAAAGTAAATTGAGCGCAGTTCAATCGCCGAATAGTTATTATTTAAGATATAATACATATAAATAATTAATATTAAAATTATTCAATATTTAAAATTAATAGTATGAAGAATATTAGAATAAATAATCAATTTCTGAATATTTTAGTTACAGTTATATATGGTAACTATTTCTAAATTGTATTCCCTTAACATCAATATTTGTAGGTCACCTACAATACTACCCAATTGAGTAATTCGATCATTTTTTTTAGGAGGATACATCAAAAAATTATTCATGGTTACTTTATAGCTGTTAATTTTGTATATATCCCAATTATAATCACTACTCAGATCATCCAACGATGTAGTAGGTCTACCATTAGTAGGTTTATCTTTGAACCATTTGTCAATTAGTGAATTCATGATATTAAAAAATTGTAAGCAAAAGTCATATGATGTAATATTTTCTTCTTCAGATAATGCAATTAATGAATATAAATCATCAAAATATGTATAATTTTTGATCATAAAATCATTAACCTTATTTGTAACCATTATTAAAATGTTTTTTACATACAAATGTTCTGATGGATTTCGGTTTCTAAAAACAAACAACAACCCATAATAAAAAATTATAAATAAATACTTTATAGATCGACTCTTCACCAATCTAAGATACATTTCATCGTTTAACTCATGATATTCTGGTACAAAAACTCTGTTATAGCTAATACATTGATCCAGAAGGAAATCTTCTTTGACATAATCCCAGTATGCATCTAATGTATTGACTTCTTGTGACGTATAAACTATAACAGTAAAAACAACGCACCATAAAATTCTCATTTTCAATTTTATTCTTGTACTTATTTGAACAATATAAAAATTCTAAACTTATTATAATAATGAAATGACTTTAAATGTAACCTATTTTATTTTATAGAACAGTTTGAATGATTTACAAAAAAATTCATTTATATACCACTTAATCGAAAAATAAAAATTCAGAATTTTTTTTATTTGTGCATATCTCTTATGCAAGCAATAATAAATAACTTGGTAATTTTCAAGCAAAATTAATTTTTCGCGTAAAATTATGAATTATTATACTTATATTTAAACATATATATATATATATTTATAATATATAAATATATCATTTTTTTAAATGTATATTCTTTTAAATTATTTTGAAATCCGTAAAAAAATAAATGATAGCTGTTTTACGAAACAGTTACTAAACACGTGATAGGTTCACTTTTCAATATACAGTTTTGGCATGCACACGTGTATTCTATATATAGTTTAAGTCTCCGAAATGAAGGTGATAATCAACATATTGATTTTATTATAGACTTAAAAAATAACACTAAATACAAGTTACTTTCAGAGAGCAAAGAATGGTGTAGAAATAATAATAACTATAATATGAGTAATCAATATGACAATAATTTAAACCAAACACAAGTAAATAGTATCATAGAAGTAATAAATGAAATACAAAACGATAATGATATCTTATTAGAAAATGAAACAAAAAAAAATTGGGCTTCCCTAAAATGTATTTACTTACACAAGATGAAAATGTTTTGAAAACCATAATTATGACATTCGGTGATCAAGTCAAAAATGTTTATGAAACAATACATGATAATATTAATAAAGTTTATGAAAAAGCGAAAAATTATTTTTATTATGACTTTTGGGTCATTGCTTTAAATTTTTTTAAATATTATAAGGACAGTTGCATTACATTTAATAAGAAAACACTTACTGTATGCTAATGAAAGTTGGAAATTAAATTATACCTTTTTTCCATATTTCAATGTAGGCCAAGAAATAATGACAATGTTTCTCTCAGAAAATCATTTCTTTAGACACAATAATAACCAAGTGTTCAAAATTGTAAAAAAATTAAATAGTTTAAAAGAGATTTAAAACGGTATAAATGTGTCACATATAAACAAATTTTAAAAATTGAAACTGTTATGATAACTTTGTTACCAACATTTGTCAATAAAAATTCTAGTGATCAATTTATTGCTAAAGATTTAGATAAAATGTCATATCAAAACAAAAATGTTATTGACAGTTTTAATAATGAAAATTAAAAAAAAATAAATTCATTTCAAAAAATGTTTGATTATGCTGCATTAAGTGTTCATTTCAAGAGGATCATTTTTTATCTACAGTATTTAGAAACTAAATTTGCAGAGTATAATTTTGAGCTTCCCCTATCATATATTGAAACATTTCAGGATTATAATCAATACTATCGTCAACGATAAAATAAAATAGTGGCCACAAAATTTTAATTTCTATCAGTATAAGTTATTAATTAATTAATTATTGCCATAATACTTTTGTGTTGTGAAATATTAAATATCATTGAGAGAACCTTAACATTTATAAAAATATAAAGTTTTATTAGGTAGTTTTTTTTAACGTATCTATACATTTACTATTATAATATACCAAATAAAAGATGAATAATACAAAAATAAAAATAAAATTTTTTTCAGAAATGGCGAGTACCATTTAGACTATAAACATTATAAAAATATATAGTTCTTTCATATCTTTATTCGCCTTAAAATTGTATTAACTTTAATTTCTTAAAAATTCATATTTTATTAGTTAACATATAATTGAATGAAACTAACTAAGAATATGTCTGATCGTTAAGAACTTTAAAATCAATATTTTTTGAAGTTATTAAAACATTTATATAATAACTGTAGGTAAAGTGCATTTCTATTAATGTTATTTCTAGGCATTTATGAACTCAACCTCAACATGGGTGAGAAAAGAAGAAGAGAAAGAATTAAATTTGTTTATATTATTTAAATGTAAAAGAAAATATTTATAACGCTAGTCATTTATAATCTCTTAAAATAATAATTATGTTATAAAAATTATTTTTGATATTTTTTAGTTTCATATATTTTTTTATTTATTAGCTAGTAATAATTTAAGCAAGTGATTTATCAAATATGTACACCCAAAAAAAAACCTCAATCAATTTTGATAAAGAAATTTTATCAAGGGTTTATGATAATGTTTTATTTATACGAACAAAATAATTATTGTTCAAGACAGGAAAAAAAATTATTATATTGATAAATATATCATAGATTCAATAGTAATGATATATTTATCAAATTGAACAACGAATTTATTATATAGATCGAGGTTTTTCTCTGGGTGTAATATCCGAGTGAAATTTTAAAACATAGAAATTGTGATATTTAACAAATTTTCAACAAAGTGCATTTTGTGATAGTGATGTTAATCAATTTCAATTTCAATTTTATCAATTTTTTTTTTTTACATTTTTGTAAACATCAACTTAAAAGTATCTTAAAATATCATGTTATTAGTCAAAAAAAAAAATTGACAAATAACATGATATTTTAAGATTATTGTTATTATATTGAAAATCAAAATAAATAATAATTATAGAAAAAAATTTGTTTTTATGATTAAATAGTTTTATATGTGTTACTTGTTTGTTACTATTTATTATTAGTAATTATTTAAAAAAAGCATCGATAAAAATATTACAGATTTTAAATTAGCAAAAAAATTTGGTTTGGAGAAATATATTTTTGTCTTTGATGAAAATTTCTCGTTGACTAGTGCTATTAAATATAGTGTTATAAATTAAATCAATAATATTTTGAGCAGACAATTTTTTATATTAAGTATATTTCATATAATTTTGAAAGTTTTCATTGAAATAAGGATACAATATCGCAATTTTAGAAAATATTGATTAATGTTTCTATGAAAACAAAATAATTTATTCATAATTTAAACTACTAGCAGTGGCGTATTAAAAGTTTTAGCAACCCGGAGCAGTATAATGCACAGATCAATGTATTTGATACCGCCTCCTAAAATTTTCTGTTCGGCAAAGAAAAATTTCTTGCTTACTCTAAAAAAAAATTCTGGCGTAAACAACAAAAATTAAAAACGTCATTAGATATATTTTTATCCAAGTACTATCGAATTCATCGGCTATGACTATCCCAAAAATCTGAGGTCATCGTTTTTGTTGCATTCTGGAACTGTTACCCCAAGTATCCTCTTGTATACACATGCCACTGACTAATAGAATAGTATTATATAAGGATGAATTTATTTTAAACAAATGTACTTGTTCTAATGAAAAAATCAAAAAAATATGATTAGACCCTTTTTAATACGCTTATATTAGTTTCACTTGTATGTTGTGTGTTTGTGTGAATTTGTTGTTTGTAAATCTCCAACGCGCTACGTGATATTATTCATCCCGTCGTCTATGACCTTGAGACTAGACGTCATAACGCATTTACCCCACCCCGCTCTCCAATCACCGACATCAATATTTTCCGGTATAATTTTATTTTTGGTTTTCGTACCCGTATACGTGTCCCTGTCATTAATTATATATTTATAAGCAAATTTTTATTTTGACTGACCAATACCGCCCGCGTCGATTGCGTCTTACGTATATATATTTATATATTCCTACCGCCGCTGCCGCCGTTTATACCTTTGGTATAACGTTCCCCCCGCCCACAAAACAAGGCTATACCTAGTGCATGATATATTTACGTACTTAAGTCACTTTACATGTATATATATATTATAGTTACTATTAAAATTTACATATTAACATGCTTTCATTCCGATTACAAAGGATGATTACCGTATCGTTATTTTTTGTCACTACCTCCACGTTTTGGGAGTGGGTAATTTACGCGCCTGCTACTTTCCTTGGATGTGATAGCCATTCCTCAGACTCCCTCCCCGGAATGGAACCCTGATTTCCCGTTACCCGTTATAACCATGATATTGATAGTAACTACTATCATAACATGAAACTAAAAAGTAAAAAATAAATATAGTTTAAAAAAACTAAAAACACACGCTTCTAAAGCACATCGAACTAAAAAGTTACAAATAATTTTTAGTTCAATGTGCTTTAAAAGCGTGTTTTTTTAGTTTTTTTAAACTATATTTTTTAATAACTGTTTTCATTTAAAAAACTAACAGTGATTTTTAATAAAATATTAACTAACAGATTATTTTGATTACATTTATTTATAACATTTTATTATTTTGTATAAATCAACACACAAAATTATTATTTTTTTTTCATATTTAATTTTAAATGAATATTCAAAATATTGTTTTTAATTAATTAATTTTATTCCTAAGCACGTTTTTTTTTTATCTATATTTTTTATATAACTACTCCTTATTTATTATTCCAAATAATATTATAATATTACTTAATATCCTATAATTATTTAAAATAGTTAAAGACACTTGTGCAATATGATACCATGAAAGTATTTGTATATAGTTGTAATGGTATTTTTTAACATAATTATTTTATATTAATTAGTGGCATTTAACACACAGTAAATTATGGTGATATATTTAAAAATTAAAATATATTTATACAGTCAACAAATTCTATAAAATCAAATTTGCATTCAGTAAATAATAATTTTAATGAAAATTTGACTAATATTAATTTTGGCCTACTATAGATTGGTTTATTTTTTTTTTGATTGCATGTTCATACTTATCATTAATAACTCCTTAAAATATTAAATCCTTATAATTATTAGTTTCATAAAATTATTAAAACGGCTGTTGGAAAATAATGAAAATCAGCTAAAATTTTATCTTTTTTTATAACGAAAATGATTTTTTAAATTAGCCATAATTTATTTATATTAAATTGATTAAATATATAACGATGTAAAATTTTCTATTCCTTAAAACATGACTTTTTTAGAAGTATTAACAAAAAATTGGTAAATAAATTTTAAATAAGGTGACAGTGAAATTTTTCAGTTGTTAATACAAATACTTTTTTTTTATTGACTGAAATTATTAAATGTAAGTTATCGTTTGTTGAATAATTTTTACTTTTTTTTTTAGATTCTATACGCAATTTTCAATAAAAATAATAAATTAACTGTTTTAATCTACATTTTACTTTTTTAGGAACGAAGCTGAACTTAATAATTTGCGCTTTTATTTGTTATTTGCTGGTTAATATTATACCATTTTGTTTTTTCACGATAACATGAATATTTAAAATTTAATTAAATTATATATATATATATACATATAAATTATAATTTAAAAAAATATATTGAAAATATAAATTTAAATCAAAAATATTCAACTCAAAGAGCCATAAAAATTGTAATTATTTTAATTATAATAATTATAATTTTTGTGGCTTTTTGAGTTATATATTTTCAATATTATTTAGTTTTACATTAATATTTTAAATATATTAATTAATTATAAATAATATTAGACACAAGTGATCAATTCTTATTATAACTAGAAAATAATTTCTCACCTTTTTTCTTTTGCTAAACAAAATTTTTTTACTCTGAATTGCTATTTAAGAATACTCAAATGAGCAAAAAAAAAAACGTGATCATTTCTAAAAATTTAAACATTGCAATTTATTTTGTTGGGCATACAACCCCCTAACTACCCTGGATGCGTCACTAAGCAGCACTCACTTTCATTACATACCCACCTACTCTATCTATTATAATGCTTATAACTCAATATGTATTAGTTGGTGTATATTATATGAGCTAGGATACCTCGGAGCAACCTGAGCAACTTACCCAGTCCTAAGTGTGTTACGTAGGAGGTGTTCATGTCGTGAGGATATGGTGAAGGCATATGCCTCCTTCCCATAGCATGGTGAAAGGTTAAGAATATAAGAGTGGGGTCCCCTCTTTCTTTTAGCTGGTACATTTGATAACACAAATATGGGGGGTTAAGAGTAAATCTATATGTGAGGATACGCAAACACATACGAAAAGTGGGGATATACTATGAAAACTGTATAGTTTATTAGAAATTACGAATTAAATTGTAATTAATAAGTAATCACGAAATAGAAATGATTAAGTGATGTAGGAAAGGGCTAGTATGTAAGGATATGTGTACTGTGATTTACTAGCTCCCCTATAAAGATATGTGATTTTTCAGCATAAATGAACGTGAAATCCTTGATAAAGTCATAGTGTCATCAAGAACCATCAGCTCTAAGAAGATTCTACTCTAAGAAGTTGGTGAATTATACCAAAAGCAAAATGAATTCTTATTTCCTTTATTATTCCTGATTAGTTTTTCTATGCTTAAAAGTATACTATATGAATAAATATTTACTGTAGCAATTATATTCACATATAATAGAACATCGGTTTTATCTTAATATACACTACTTTTTAATGATACTATAAATAAATAAACTCACACATGCACACATATGCATTTATAACATTGTGTCTAATGTAAGTATAACATAATAAAAAGTAACCGTAAAATGGAAAATAAATTTTAGTACTCATATTAAATGTAATGTAACTCGAAAAATATTTATTTAAATGAAGAAATAGTAAATACCTATTTTGTTTAAAATTGTCTTTTAAACAACTTTTGTACGAAACTTTTTTTTGTATATTAAATATTTTTTTGAGAAAATTAAAAAAGCTCATATTTTTAAACTTTTCCAAGGCTGTAAAAAAAAAGCTTAATTCCAATCGATTAGGTCTTTTAGTATGTCATTAATAGAAATCTTAATTCAACTTTTAAAAAAAAATTATTTGGTTGGGAATTTTTTCCGCCATTTTACCTTTGTTGACTGGCCTAATATGCGTGCTTTAAATTATGTTGGCTGTGCCGAATGCGTGTTACGACTTATCATTGTATGACTTATATGCGTGCACATATCATTTAAATAATCATGATAAGGTGTTGTGATTTGTTTTTGCGCGTGCGAGATAGTCAGCTGTGTACTACTTCGGATTGGTTCATGCACGGGAATTTGTGTGTACACCCACTCAGCTCCTTTCCTATTTTGAACGACATTTGCACTGCTCACCACATACATTGTCACTTTACGATATTTTTTTTTATTCAAATTATTCTCAACAAAATCCGTCACTGAGTAGTAAAATTTGTTGACCCCTACTCTAAAGGCTAGTCGTGGTGTCGCCATGGGACCGCCGACTCAAACGACGGAGATTTTGTAGGAAATTAGCCATTGTCGGAACTGGTTGTTGGTTAATTTTCGCCAGTAGCGGTCGTGATTTTTTTGTTGTGTGCGCTGCAACTGTTTATATATATATATATGTTTTTTCATGTGTTTTTTCTATATTAAGTATATAATTTTTTTTTAAATTTTATGGCGTCGCCTCAACCTGCTCCTATTCTTTAGCCCTTCGGAGCTGGTAATGTATACCTAGTATTTCATGTTTTGAGCCAGAATATTTTTTTAGTGCGCCGTGCACTAAGCACGTGAGGCGAATTGTATTTTTAGGTGTCCCTATTTTTTTTTTCAGGTCCCACAACATGGCAGGCGTGTTACAAGACCACCTGTTATGTTATATATATGTTTTTGTGATTTTTATATGTATACTTCAATATACTTTTGAATGAGAGTGATAAGTAATAATTGCCTTATCTAATTTCTTATCATGGTATTTATGCCAAGTTTGTAATGTATACACACTATCATCATATGTATACACAGTAATCATGAAAAGATAGCGTTTTCTTCTGTCCTTTTCTCAATACGTATTTCAATGTTTATAACCGTAAAATAGTACATGAAAATTCAAATTTTTACAAACTTCAAAACGCTACAGAATATTTACTACTGAATATTAATAAGATATTTTTTTACTAAAATTTTTCTTAAATTCTACTCTACAAAATAGCTATCTTAGATTTTTTTTTTACATTTTATTTAAAATTTAAAAATAATTAATATTTTTAATAAAATGTAAAAAAATTAATTATTGAGATATAGCTATAGACCTAACGTCTAACTAATATTTAAAAAAAAAATCAGCTAAAAATATTAACTGGATCAAAAGTTATTTAAGTTGTCAGTGAGTGGTGGGCCACCCTGTATATAGGTTTGATTTTATATTATATTGGGTGATGTATATATAATTAGTACATTTATATAATTAGTCTTGCAAGCTAGTCTAACTGCTTAAAACCAGTCGCTTACTTAGGGCGTATACCCACCGTGCTTAGCGGTAATGCCGCAATAAAGAGCCGGTGAGTACCCAAAGACGTTCTTCGTATCACTTTGTAAAAGTGTAGGTGTAACTATTTGTTTTTATTAATATCTGTTTTTTTTTCTCCGTTTCTCTTTAATTTGTAGATCGTTCGGTTTTTTGCTTCGTATTAACTTAATTTTTTTTTTTTATTACTTAATAAAATCCCCTTAATTTAATTTAACTATTATCTTATTTTTTTTGCGTGTTCCATCTTCAATGGACTCGTGTATTTTTTCCTTTCAAAAATCATCTCCCCATAGTTATAAGGTACGGCAAATGGCCTTGTATCATCATGGTTATATAACAACTATCACGAGGATTTGGTGTACATCAACTATCAACAACTCAACAATCATCAAATACAACTTTTTTTAATATATTTTTTTTAAATCCTACACCCAGAGAAAAACCTCGATCTGTATAATAAATTCATTATTCAATTTGATAAATATATCATTGATTCAATAATCAATGATATATTTATCAATATGATATTTTTTTTTCTTGTCTTGAACAATAATTATTTATAAGAATAGTTATTTTGTTCGTATTAATAAAACATTATCATAAACCCTTGATAAAATTTCTCTTTCAATTTTGATTGAGGTTTTTCTTTGGGTATACTGTGGTCCGACAGTACATTGTTTCGCCCAGTAGGTAGGNCTGTGGTCCGACAGTACATTGTTTCGCCCAGTAGGTAGGCGACCCTCTTTTGATATTTTTCAAGGCGCCATGAAAGTTACAGATTTCCGTTGTGGCGAATTCAATCAAATATAGTTTTTTTTATGAAAATTGTAACCTTTCAAATATTTATTTTGAAATGATTTATTACGACAAAAAAAAAATTTAAAAATAAAAAAATATTGTGTTTAAATTATAGCAGATTTATATGTTAAAAACAATCAATGCAAAATATCATTTTTAACCTATTTTTTTGGTTTTTTAAAGTTGTTATTTTAAAAGTACATAATGAAAAAAAAATTGAATTTGTTACTATAACTTTTAGATTAACTTCAAGTTTGAAATTTATATTATTAAATAGAAAATTTTATGAGAATTAAAAAAATAGTATTATGAAGATTAATATGTAGTCAGGAAATCGTATAAATAAGAATACTCAAGAGTATCCGCCCAAACCGCGGACCCGTACAGGAGAACCGAGTGTGCTACGCTGACTAAGAGTTTGCGTCGTAACTCCCTCAGCCCTCCCAGATTGGCCATGAGACCCACCAGGCTGTTCATGACATTCTGGACCCGCTAGGCCGCACGGGTAATATGTGGCCGGAACTTTAGACGCTTGTCTACGACCAACCCCAAATAAGTCATGGAGTCTTTAAGCGGGATCTCCACCCTCAGCACGGAGAACCGTGGAGGAGTGAACTTGTACCTGCCCGTGAATAGGACCACTTTGGTCTTGTCTAGGGCGAGGCCAAGTCCACTGCCATCCTGCTGGTTCAGGCGGACACTGCGCTGAGCGCGCAGTTCGCACGAGATCCAGCCTCCTCTGATAAGGCGCCTTCCGCCATCACCGACGTATGTCGTCCATGATGTTCTATAGCAAAGACCCGAGAACCGACCCTTGCGGACGACACCCTTTATGGGCATGATTCTCGAGCCCACGGAGATCTCGAAGGAGATGATCCGGTCACTTAAGTACGACCGGATCATCCAGCCAACGTACGGGGGCACTCGATATTGCCCCGTAACCGATTTTCAAAAGAGTTATATGAATTCAATCTAAATTAAATATGTAGTAGCACTTACTTTGAATTTTTTGCCAATGTCCTTCATAAACGGTAAAAATGAAAATTTAAACTACCTTAAATAACCTTTTTTGCTGTCTCGTAGCTATAGTAATCTATGTATCAGCTGATAACGCATGTTCCTTAATTATTCGAAGTATGAGGGTCAAATCCCGTAAAGCGGTTTGACTTGTTGCATTTTTTTCAAACATTTTTTATTTATTCCTAAAACATCTCGCAAATTTTATTTAAGTATTTCTATATAATATTATATACAAATTATGAAAACAATAATGAACTTACAACAAAGCAAACTTATTATTTACAAATTATAAATACCACTCTGAATATTCATCTAGAATCTCGTCATCCAAATTAAAATTTACCATAGGTATTGACACATATATCTGTTATATTGCTGTGATTGATATGTCAAAGCAGAACGAAACAATTACAGCCCCGTCTTTTGACCTGCTTATTGAATATAATCTATCAATCACATTCGCCGCTAATACAACTGCATATGTTCTAATAATTTCAGACAATGTATTTACATATGCGCCTTTTGACGGAACCGTCCGTATAATTTAACATTAATTTTTACACGTTTACATAAATATTTATTATAAACCTTGTAATTATTATTATTATACCAAACCACTATTTATATGACTAGACATATCTTCGACATACTCTTCCTCCCAGTTAGGTATAAAAATATCAAATGTGATTAAAATGATAGATTAGAACAATTTATGGACTACATTGGGCGTTATAAACATGAATTATTAATTTTTAATGAACATTTTTTTTTCTTATAAAAGTGTTATTATTATATTGAAATTACTTAATAATTGTAATCAAATTACTTATTAAT